TCTCTCTCTCTCTCTCTCTCTCTCTCTCTCTCTCTCTCTCTGTGTGTGTGTGTGTGTGTGTGTGTGTGTGTCTGACCACCGCCGCCGAATTGCCCGAAGAAGAAGAAGAAGAAAAATAAGAAGAAAAAAAAACAGCAAAGAAAAAGAAGAAGAAAAATAAGAAGAAAAAAAAACAGCAAAGAAGAAGAAGAAGAAAAGAAAAGAAAAGAAAAAAAGCGAAGAAAAAGAAGAAGAAGAGAAAAAAAAAAAACAGCAAAGAAGAAGAAGAAGAAGACGAAGAAGAAAAATGAAAATTACCTACGCAATATTTATTGGATTCTTAACTCCATATCAATCATGAAGAAAACGGGAAAAAAAAATTCCTGCTTTTCTTTTGTTTATTTTTTTCTTTTCTTTTCTTTTTAACCATTTTCGGTTTTCATTTTTTTTTAAATTGGTAAATCAAGCCAAATTAAAAAAAAAAGCAAATTATGGGGTAGTAGGGTTTTGCAAACCCTACAACCCCATATTTTTATTTTTTTTTTCACGTATTTTTTTACCCCCAAAAAAATTTCCAAAAACTCAGGCCGCGAACTGGGCCTCCAGGCTGCGGCTTTTTCGGCCGCGGCGGCCAAATTGCCTGAGGCCTCAGCCGCGGGTGTCACATAGCCAACAGCGCTGCTACTCGATATCTGGGTCTTGCCAGATCAGCGCCGGTACTCACAGGCTCGGGGCATGATGGGATGCTGTTTTCAACAGTGGGCTATTATTGGAGGCTGGGGGTCGTAGGGAGAAGGTGAAGTTTGACTGAAACTTCGTTGAAGTGTGCTGTTGGGGATTAATTAAACGTGGAACAGATTTTGTGGTTGAGATTCTTGGAGTTGTTCGGTTGAGAGGAGGAGAGTAGGGAGTGTAACTAAACAATTGATTGACACTTTTTTCTCTCAAATTTATCTGGTTTTGGCTTCCGCTGTGCAATATCTCTCCATGGCTATGGTAGCATGGTGTAAATCTGCTCCATCCAGTCTGCCTGACATTGCAGATGTGTATGGGAACATTTAAATGCAGGTTTGAGTTGTGAATCAATCGAACACATAACAGGACCGTGCCCCGACGTGTATTTAGCTGGGCCATAGGTCATTTTGTACATTTGGTGATTACTGGAATGAGGGCTTTAGAGGTCCATGTGGGACTCCTTTTTGCCTTTTTTAAAAGAAAACGACCCAGTGCCGAAGGCTTGGATTATGAATGATAAAATGCAATGATGATACCAGGAGGAGGATCCCACTACCCATGTATTGGGCAGGTGTGGGATGGGTGGGGGACAGGTGGGTGGCAGCCTGAAATATTGAAAATGAAAACGTAAATTTAAACCATTTCATGACAAAAGAAATGAAGAGAAAATTGCTAAAAAAGAAACGAAAGTGCTCTTTCCATCTATCGTGTCTGCTCCAGGCGGGGTGTCACTGGAAGATGTCAGGGTATGATGCACTGACCATGACTGTGTCAGTCAAAAAGACCATGCGACTCGATGCCAGTGAGCAAACTGACCAAATTCATTGACAATAGTCGGAGGCTTCCTCGAAATGGGCCGCAGTGCATGCTCCTATTCATCTTTGGCAAAGGACGGCAAGAGAAACTCCATGCAGCATGACATTGTGCCGTAGGTGAGGGGATCGAACCGCCACGAAAACTCACAAACCACAATCAATCCGGCATGTCTTCCAAGCATGGACAATGACCCAAAGGTGAGTAGAAGGTGTGTGAAAATCATCACAAACAAAACCGTTATAATTTTCACTCACGTTCGGGACCCCAAGAGGAACACCCTTTTCAAAAAGAAAAGAAATACCACCCAATGGGAGGCCCCCAAAACACACACATGTCCCCACACGTAAATACAAATAAAACCACACCGCAAATAAGGCCACACCGTCGATATCCAGTCCGATCCATGGTGCTTCTGAGTCCACATACGTCGGTAGTGGGATCTACCTCTGGGACCTTCACCCAGATAGCTAGAAAACGTGATACATTGGGCCTCGCCACACTACTCCCTACTTGGAGAAAATATTCGGGAGTACTCTCGAACGTCAGAGGAAGCGAAAATCCATTCGGGAGTGCGCTTCGCCGCATTGCACTCCCGACTTGGGGCGCTCTACTATTTGGAGGCCAGGAGGCGCACTTCAGACAGAGAATGTCCAGCACTGTCGAGCATGTGGCGACGAAAACTGTGAGGAGAATGCTTGTCTGTGCACGAGTTCTCGGGTCGAAACACAGGCCTCCGCAAGAGGTCTCCCGAAAATGGCCTTTTACAGGCCGGAGGCTCAAGCTGTTTCGGGAGTGCTCTCGGGAGCCCAGTTCTGACAGCTCCCGAATTCCATCTGACAGGTTGAACTCGGGAGCTCGTGTGGCGACGCTGCACTCCCAAGTGGCTACTTAATGATGAGACTTAGGAAGTTTTAGTATAGTGAAGTACATACCTGGTTCACTCGGTTAAACTTAAAGCTCGGTCGCATGTACACAGGCAGAGGGAAAGACTGGGAACGGAGCTGGATATGTCTTTCTGCAGGATCCTTGGGGTTCCTGGTGGTCGATATTAGACCACTCGTCGGGGCACAGATGCTCAGTATAGTTCAGCCAGGTGACAGAGGCTGTGAAAATTTGAAAACCATGTCTCTTCCCCCCCTCCTCCACTAGAAGTGCGCAATGGCATCTCCCTTGTTGGCTTGCTTGATTGTTTCCCCTGTTTTTTGTAGAAGGTAGTTTTCATAGGATAATGAGTTTAACTTAGCCTTGCTAATAGGTATTAATGAATTTAATGGCTCCACCTTTTAGCTTGTTAGGCATGTTTTGCCAAGAAGGCTTTTATTGTAAGAATAAGTGTTTTGG